TTTGTGATACACATTGTTCTGTGTGCAGTCAGAGGCACACTATTTTCATAATAATTTATTGTTTCTCATTTTGTCATCGTGAGACCCTACAGCTTTGTTGAACATTGCATTTTATGTCAGTATCGTACAGCCAGAGCATTAGGTGCAGTGTGTAAGATTTATTGGCATCTAGCGTTGAGAATGCAGACCGCAAGCAACTGAATATCCCTCCGCCACCCCTCCCTTTTCAAGCATGTAGTAGTACCTGTTCGCTTCTTTGGTGATGAGGATTCACCCTCCCATACTTCCCATTCCCACTCCCATTCTTCTGTTAAATAATAAGTATAATCCTCCATTTGTCCAAATTTGGATTCTCAAAGTTTTGACAACACAAAATGCTTAGCAACCGGCAGCAACCACTGATTCTTCTTTCTTCGTGTTCCAACTGGTACTATAGCGCCACCATATTCACAACATGAAAATGTGAAAGGCACTCTCTGGAGCCAGTGTTTGGTTTGTCTGTTTTGGGCTACCGTAGAAACATAATGGCTCAACATGGCAGCCTCTGTTGGAAGAGGACCCACTCCATATGTATTAGCTCATTCTAAGCTAACGGAGGCACAACGGTTGGTAGTTAAAGGCGATTACCTACAAGCACCAATGGAAACATGGTTCATTTCTGCTCATAGATCCACTTCTAAATCATACACACTGCACCTTTAAGAATTTGAATCAAAATATCCATAACAATCCACAGTAAATAACAATCTGTCTTTATTGCATCCATTGAATTTGACTGAAGAACACGATGGATAAAGCCAAATCATTGTCATTTAACATTAGAAATGTGGGTGGAATGTTTTAAAATTTTTATTCGGCTGTCTACTTATAAATTATAGTACAATTTAAATCAGCCTTAAATTAAGTTTGCCTTGAGGATAAACAGGCATGTTTACTGACAGTGATCCATATTGCAAAAATAATTGGATATATACACTCATATATTTTTTCTATATGAGCTGTGTCGTACAAAATCTGTATTCAATAAGCAGCCAATTTAGAGACTGTTGAGTGATTCTGAATGAAAATTGGCTAATTTTGATCAGAGCATCCCTAAAATCCAGAGTTAATTCCTCATAGACAATCAGTGTGATTAGCTCAAGCATGTATACTTCTTTGTGTGTTGTGTGTGTGTGTGTGTGTGTGTGTGTGTGTGTGTGTGTGAAAGCGGGAAACAGTGAGAAGCTCTTTGATTCTCTGTAATAAACTGTGTAAAAATGAACGCGGTTTAATAGGACATCAGACTGCTTCAAAGGAGAAATATGAAGATCCTCCCCCTACGTGCTCCACACCGCAGGGGTAAATAGTAGCGAGGTAAAAAGCTGAGTATCTGTGCAGAATTCAGCTGCACAATATGGAAATTCACAATGGAATAATGATATTGCCCTTTTGCTACAATGCCTTAAAGCAATTTAATTTTTTTTGTATTTTAATGCAGGACTTTGCACAAACTGCATGGCTATAGGGATTCACACCACATAATGAATTACAAAAGATTTACAACTGCTGTGGCATCTCCTTTATAATATTTTTATGAAATCTTTCTGAAATTTCTGTTGAAGAATTTGCCTTTTCAGTACTACGTTGAGTATTTTGCTTGGGAACTACAGCAAAGACTACAAAGCCAGCATAAATTCCATGCATTTCCATGTATATAAATGGAATTTACGCTTACTTTGTCTACCTGGATGTAAAGATGGGTCTTTTTCTTTTTTCTGCCTGAAAAAATGTATGAAGTTCTTACTCTGCTGTACTGCCTGCTTATAGGTGGCTCAGTGTGTGAAATACCCCCTGGTATTGGGGGGGGTCCCATGCTGGCCGACTACTTCAACTTAAAAACCCAAACTGTCAGGCAGTCTAACTAAAGTATACTGCCGCAGCAGGCGTTGAACTGTTTGTTTTTTTCCATTGATATCTTTCCTCTATTTCCATCTTTATGCACATTTCAGGTGTCCGATTGTAGTTTGTCATCTTCATTGGGGTTAATGTTTTGCTTGTCAAGAACGGATGTATGCTTTATAGGGAAATGCTGTACTGGTTGTTGCTTTTGTTAACCTGTGCTCTCATTAATGTGTAGTTAATCTTGCTACTGTTTTGTCTCAATTGGAAGAAGAAAAATGTGCTCAATGTGCTTTAACTTGCTGTGATATCATAACAAAATCACTGACTATGCAAAAAAGTAGACAGGTAGGGGACCACTGAGCATTTGTGCCCAGGGGCCCGTAACTTGATGATTTTGGCCTGTCCGAGGTCACTTCACAACAGATTAAGATGCACACTAGGACTTTGTATTATGTTTAACACATCCAGCTGTCTGTTGGAGGACCTCTAAAGATGAGCCTTTAAGGAAAACTCAATTATAATGATTATGGGGGAGTTGGTCATAATTAAGTGTGTAAAAAGGTGATTCAAGGGTATTGATTTAGGAATATTAGAATACATCATGGTGTAATATAATATAAAATTAAACAAATTGTGCAAATTTCTCAGGCTTTTTTCAAATGTACACACACATGTACATATATATATGAATGTGTGTGTGTGGCTGCCCTCTTCACAGTCTGTTCTCCATTTTATAGGAGTTTTCCCCAACAGCAGCCTCCACTCTCACTCATCATCAGGCTGGCAGGGTCAGTGAGCTGTCCACTCAGTGTGTGTATGTGTGTGTGTGTGTGTGTTGGAGATTCTAACTCACCACAGAACAGAGGAAGGCATAGTGTAAGAGAGATACACCGAAACAACAGTGGCTTTTGACTCCAAAACTTCTTAATGAATATTTCTTGTATCTAAGTACAATAATATAATATAATATAATATAATATAATATAATATAACCTTCAATGTGCATTTTTTTGTGTGTATATATATATATATATATACACCAATCAGGCATAAAATGATCACCTCCTTGTTTCTACGCTCATTGTCCATTTTATCAGCTCCACTTACTATATAGGTGCACTTTGTAGTTCTACAGTTACAGACTGTAGTCCATCTGTTTCTCTGCATACTTTGTTAGCCCCCTTTTACCCTGTTCTTCAGTGGTCAGGACCCCATGGACCCTCACAAAGCAAGTACTATTTGGGTGGTGGATCATTCTGCACTGCATTAACACTGATGTGGTGATGGTGTGTTAGTGTGTGTTGCGCTGGTCTGAGTGGATCAGACTCAGCAGTGCTGCTGGAGTTTTAAACACCTCAGTGTCACTGCTGGACTGAGAATAGTCCACCAACTAAAAATATCCAGCCAACAGCGTCCTGTGGGCAGCGTCTTGTGACCACTGATGAAGGACTAGAGGATGACCAACACAAACTCTGCAGCAGCAGATGAGCTATCGTCTCTGACTTTACATCTACAAGGTGGACTGACAAGGTAGGAGTGTCTAATAGAGTGGACAGTGAGTGGACACAGTGTTTAAAAACTCCAGCAGCACTGCTGTGTCTGATCTACTCAGACCAGCACAACACACACTAACACACCACCACCACATCAGTGTTTCTGCAGAGCTGAGAATGATCCACCACGCCAAATAGTACCTGCTCTGTGAGGGTCCATGGGGGTCCTGAGCAATGAAGAACAGGGTAAAAAGGGGGCTAACAAAGTATGCAGAGAAACAGATGGACTACAGTCTGTAACTGTAGAACTACAAAGTGCACCTATATAGTAAATCGAGCTGATAAAATGGACAATGAGTGTAGAAACAAGGAGGTAGTCATAATGTTGTCCCTGATCTGTGTATACACACATATACATATACATATATATATATATATATATGTAACTACAAAACTACAATGGATAATCATCTATATAGTATAACATATATATGATACTGTGAATGTAAATATGTATAATATGTTGTGATTTTGGAAATCTAGAGTACAGTATATAATGAAATATATATACACACACGCACAGGTGTTTGTGTGTCAGTGAGATGATGAATTGCATCATTATGAGGTTAATTTGTTCTGAGAGATGAAGGAAGCCAGGCGGAAAGGAGGAGGAAACGTTGACCGGCTTTGAGGTCACATCTGTAAACCTGCGTACTGAACAGTGCAGTGCGTGTATATGACAGGAGGAGTGTGTGTACACGTGCGTTAGTTCATGTAGGAAAAACCATGTTCCATTTTTTAAAACTGGAAACCATTTCTTTTTTATTATTGAGGTTAGAGTTACAGTCCCTGTTAAAAAGTACTGAACTGTCATTGGGTGGTATGTCTTTAGTATGAACATAACTGTACCATATTTCATTGCAATTATGTTTTTTAAGTTGTATTGACTCCGATTCCTGTGTAGTCACAGGCAATTTTAATTTGTTGTTCTCTTATAAAAAGGCATATATATCTTTTTCATCTGGGAAAAAACATATTTAAGGCACAGGGTTGTACCTTAAAACAATTGTTGTTCTTTTCAGAGAACATTTACATCGTTTGTATCTTGATGAATGAATAATGTACCTGAACAGTACTGCTTTTGACAGTTTAGAGTCAGATTTAGGGTTAGATTTATAGTAAAATTTTTGCTAAAATGAAAAAAATAACATTTTCAATTTCATATTTTTAAAGTAAGTTTATCTAATGAGACTTTTTTCCACACAATTTCTGACCATTTTTATTGGTCCATTATTTGTTAAATGTCAACACAGTATGAAGAACCAATTATATAAAGTAAAGCTCAGTGCTGCCCTCTAAACATTAGAGCACCAAGTTAGAAGTTAGAACTTTTTTTTTGTTTTCATAAGCCCCATGTTGTCCCAGTGAATGCATTTACTGCTTTATTTTATTTACATTTCACTGCTGTGGAACAAAACCTTGTATTTCCAAAATGCAAACTTTACAGGAGAAGTAAAAAACATACACTACTTTTGATGTCAATGCAACCAGACTTTTTCCCAAGTCATTTTGGGGAATTTCTTTTGGTCCATTCATCATCAAATTTACACACAATGTAAAGGACAGCGGGTATTTTCAAATTATGTCAAAAACAAAAAAACAACAAAAATGGAGATACGAGGTTTTGTTCCAACAGCAGCGATTTGTTTGCCTCCACTTAACCCACCCAATTTACATTTTATTAGTTGCAGCAGAATGTGATAGTGAAATCTAATGACTGTGGAAAATGACTGTATTCATCTTAAATAATTGTGATCATTTCAAAACTGTGATAAAATAATTATGTAATATTTGTGACAGGCCTAAATATCAAGAAAGCTGCAGTTCTGTCTGTTTTATCTCAAGACGCCCGTCTTTGTGGAGAGATGTGAATTGTTTTCACAGCAGGGGGTTCTGACCCCTCTCCTTTGAACCCTCATTGCTTGCTAGCAGCTCAACACTGAGTCACAACATTTCACAAACAGTGTCCTAGTTAATCTGATAACAGAGTTATGGTGAAAAATATTTCATTTGAATATATTGATTTAAAATATCTCAGTTGATTTTCATTCTGTCAGTAGAATAACCACTTGGCATTTATAGTTTAACTCACGTAGAAAATAAACAGAGGACTTCTACTTTTACTTCGGTGATATTTTACAAAAGGCATCTGTGCTCTGATGTACAGGTGGAATTTGAATCGAGGGTTGAGGTGATAGAAAGCAGTAATGTTCTATATTTCACTCTGAAGTGGATGCTATGTGTTGTGCTGTTCGCACAGCGTTTCATATAGAACAGAAATTACATTTTCACATTAATGCAGTAGAATAGAGGAGAACATACCAGATATAATAGTTCCTGGTGCTTTAGAATATGGATGGTGCTCATAACAGAAAGTGTTGAGTGACTGTTTTATGCAGCAAATGTATCAAGTCAAAGGTCAAGGACACTCCATCCACCCCCGTACTGACACATCATGCCACAACGGAAAAGCTTTGCGGCAAATACAGTACAGAAAAGACCCTTTATTTATTTAATTTTCAGTCAAAACAACCACTAACTATGTGTTAGTCATTTTTCTGGAGATATTTCTGAGGAGATTGGATACAATATAATCCTTGTACAAGGAAGGAGAAAGTTGAATGAAAGTGTGTGTGTGTCGGGGGTTCATTGAGATTAAGAAAATGTGATTCCAAACAACCACCTGCAAGACCAGGTAGACCACCAAACCTGTCCCCATCAGATGAACAGCACTTCATAACTAAAGCTTTCATCTTTAAGAGAAAGGAGAGAATCAAGCTGCTTCAGATCTGAAAACATCCACAGGTGTTTCTGTCCATCCTTCCACTGTGAGAAGACGACTCAATGTTATGAGTCTGAAAAGACGTGTAGCTGACAAGAAGCCTCACTAAGAAAAGGAAATAGACAACAAAGAATAACATCTGCAAATCAGGCGCTGGAGTTCTGGCCACCCCAAGTCCAGACTTAAACATCACTGAATGTGTTTGGGATTACCTGCATGGTGAGAAGCAGAAAATGCAAACAACATCTAAGACTGAACTTTGAAGATTTGTAGTCCTGCTACAAAAAAAGAATAAAAGTTTTTAAACACTTGAGTCCCACTGCTGGACTGAGAATAGTCCACCAACCAAAAATATCCCGAGAACATTGTCCTGTGACCACTGATGAAGGACTAGAGGATGACCAACACAAACTATGCAGCAACAGATGAGCTATTGTCTCTGTCTTTATATTGACGAGGTGGACCAATAAGTAAGGAGTGTCTAGTAGAGTGGACAGTGAGTGGGCACAGTGTTTAAAAACTCCAGCAGCACTGCTGTGTCTGATCCACTCGTACCAGCACAACACACACTAACACACCACCACCACATCAGTGTCACTGCGGTGCTGAGAATGATCCACCACCCTGTGGTCCTGTGGGGGTTCTGACCACTGAATAACAGGACGAAAGGGGGCTAACAAAGTATGCAGAGAAACAGATGGACTACAGTCTGTAAGTGTAGAACTACAAAGTGCTCCTATAAGGTAAGTGGACCTGATAAAATGGACAATGAGTGTAGATCCAAGGAGGTGTGGTGAATGTAGTGGATCTAGTAAAATTTTGCCCATATCATGCAGCCTTGTTGTTTATTTGCACATATAACCATATAATTAGCTCTCGTCTGTTCATGGTTCTGTCTTTCTGGCTGGATGCCCTCTCTCATTATACTATTTGTTTGATGCTATTAGCCTCTTTCTCTCTCCCTCTTTCTCTCTCTCTGCCTCTCTTTTGGCAGCTGCCCGATGGATTTTGTATTGGTCTCATGCAAATTAAAAAATTAAAATACCAGATGCCACTGTCTATCCACAGGCCTGAAACACAGTGATAGCTGAAGCACTTCATCAAAGGTGTGTGTGTGTGTGTGTGTGTGTGTGTGTGTGTGTGTGTGTTTGTATGCTCTTGTGTGGCTGTGACCCATATTTCTGTGCCCCCCAATGGGGGTGTGTGTGTGTGTGTGTGTGTGTGTGTGTGTGTGTGTGTTGTAAAAGAGATACCTTAGCAGAACTAACCCACAACCACTCAAACTGAAAGGCAGTTTCGGAGAGGACATGCTAGACTCACACTTTAATCCATAGAAGTCACAGTTATTATCAGCATTAATATACATAAGCATTAGTGTAATAAATCTTTCTTATTCATAGCTCAATGCAACAAGAAGAGGAAATATTTTATTCTGATTTGAACTTGATGAAAGGTTTTTGTGTGTCTTAAAAGAATGAACAGCCTTTGGCTGCCCCATTCAAAAAGCAGTCTGGGCAGAGCTAAACTGTTAACTAATTTATATGCAGATCCATTGACTTTTATGATCTCATAAAACCAATGAATTCAGAAGAGACTTATTTTTCCACATGTGGACTGGGGTGTGCATAATATGTTTGAACTGTAAGTGTTCACATACTACATCAAACTCCTGTATTTCAAAAAAGTGATTTTGGTGTTCCGTGATATGGGTCCTTTAAATGGTATAGCAAAATGACAGCAACAGCTGCAATACTTCAAAGGGTTTGTTGATGATACACAATTAGACAAATTCCTCAGATTTTCCATTTCTTTATGCATAATTCAGTCATTAAGACGTAAACAGGGTCATTCATAGTGTTTCGATGTGAAACACTCCATTGTAGAGAATCTTACTCAGAACTGTTGTGGTGGTGGTGATAGGAACCAGATGTCTGAAGAGGTTAATGCTTTTAAAAGCTCCCTCACAGAAAGTTATTACATGCAAGGGTTACAAAGACATTGTGTGATGAAACATTGTTTTGGGATGAGATTTTGTCCTAAATTGCTAAAGCAATAATCCTCGAGAGGCCATATGTTACTGCTATTTTATCACGAGGAAGGGTGTTTGTTTACACGAAGCAGAGTGATAAAATTGCAGTAATGCACAGCCTTAAGTGGCTTATTGCTTTTAGAAAATGGCAGCCAACATAAAAAATCATGAAAAACATTTTTTAAAAAATAATTTATTAGTAATAATAATCAACATAAACAACTATTCCATCAAGAAATGTAGTTTCTTTAGAGTATGGTATTGTTGCCAAACAATCATGGACTGCTGAATGAGGAGAACGTTCGGTTGCCCATCACTGTATATTGCAGTCATTTCACTTTTTAACTTTCTTTTGTATAATAATGAACATATGCACTGTTTAATGCAAAAACCTTAGCTTTTTTCTTATTTAAAACCAATCCAATGGCGCCCCTCTTCTTGTGCTGGGGCTGAATCTTAAACGGCTCCCTGCTCCCTATATAGTGCACTTGCTACATAGGAATTTAAATACTGGATCCTGCAGCCCAGTGGTGCAAAATACAGCTAAGAAATAGTGATTTGGGATTCAGCCACATCCATACTCAGTAAACGATGCATTATTTGGCTGTAGAGGCTAGAATTTGTAAACTTTCATAGCTAGCACACTGTTTAGCGAGTACGGAGCTGTTTGGGATTCAGCCTGGGTTTGATGTTACAACTGACTGAAACACAGACATTTGAAGAATGTAAGACATTCAAGTGACATTCTTTAGACTTTTATACTGCCATTTTACAGTTAATCATACCGTAAGTACTTTAATTCAAGCCTGTGATATTAATGATAGAGTTGTTTACGCTATTGGCCTCTTTTAGCCTGTTGGCTAGCTGACCAGCCTAGTTCTAGTTAAGAACATAAGTTGCCAGCCCCACAGTTTAAACTAAACGGGTTCTTTTTTTGTCAGTACACTTGGTGGCCCATGCAAGCTGCATTAGAGTCAATGATTATTCCAATTAATAACACAAGGGCAACAGCTGTTTTATCCTGACCTGACCCTTCAGTGAGCCAGAGAGGTAGGAAAGTTGATTCAGTTTACATAATGCATTCATTATTTGCAGTCAGAGGGGCAGTGATTTGCTGTGCATCTAGAAATTGTGTAGATCAACCCTCACAGTAACCCCCCTTCACATCTCTTTGAACTGTAAATGAGAGGATCGTAAATAAATGAGAACTGTAAGAAAGTTTGGTCAGATATTGATTACATACAGCCTAAACAGCAATACATTGTGCTATCTAGCTTGTCAGAATGTCATAGTGGACAATGCTCTTAAAAGGGAATTCCACCGATTTTTCAAATTTTCTAATAATTCAGTCCTTGAGATGTAATTAGAGTCATTCAGAGTCGTTTGATGTGAAGTGGTTCATTATAGTGACCCTGATTTCTTTACAGAGGTGGTGATAGGAACCAGGGGTCATGCTGGCTACACCACAAATATAGCCATTTTATTTACCATCCAAAACCAGCATTGAACCTACACACGTCTTCTGAATTTCTGTATGTAATGATAAAAATGTAATGGGAAAATAGTCATAAATCTGAAAAATAAGTTTTCTTGGGGACTATTTTGCCTTACAACACCCTGCATGTACTCATCTGCCACGAATGGATTAAAATAAATGGATTAAAATATATTTAAAATCAAAACTTTATCTCAAAACTATCATAAAACAATGTGTCAGAGATCAGGCAGTCTATTTCTTACCATTTCACGAAATGCCTT